TGCTATGAACCAGATGGCTTAAGAAGTTGGAACTAATGTCAATACTCTGTTGCCAAAAATTCTAATTCAGCTTGACTTGTGCCAGCACCTCTGATTTGTTTGGGCTTTACCTGATCAGAGCTTCTCTTTTTTTTTTCAATTAATAAACACCCAAAATAAAGCACAATATCTCTTATTGGAGCAAGCTTGGCCTAGTCTCATTTGTAGAGAGAAGACTCTTCTACTGCTTAAAGCTGTCTTATTTTCATGATTATCACTTCATTGTAGAGAGGTACACTGAAATTATTTATGTATACTTGTTAATGTAAAATGTGTCTATGTGATTTTTATTATGTGCACAGTCTCTTCCTTTACGTTATCCTACCAGCCACTCTTAAGATTTGTGAAAACCTACGTTATCATCAGTCCACTATCAGCATACAGTAGCCTGTTAATACTTGCTAAGCATCTTTCATTCTTTGATTAATAAGTTTACCTTTCTGAAAATATTTGGTTACTGCTTACTGGAAAATTGAAATTGAACTGTTATATTGTCACCTCGTCACTGTTCAGCTCTGTCACTGAACATAGTGAAAAGAACACAGCTAGTAATACCTGCTGGTGGTTTTCCCATTTTTGGTTTGAATGCAGCAGTTAAACAGTTGAACGAGCCTTTGATTAGGTTTGCAAATTCTTTTCTTCCCAAAAAAGGGTACAAGGTGTTGAAGTGACTTGTGGTCTTCAATATGAAATGTGTATTTGCTTAGTACTGTTGTTGTTCATCTACTAGGTACAAGTATTAAATGGCACTTTTACATATGTATTTGGCCACAATTTATATTAAAATGAATTCATCTTACCAATAGGGCAGTTCACATATAACTAGGAAGACAGTTTAGTAGAGCTGGAGAAAGTGGAATTTGAGCATCTGAATTGTGCTCGTATGAGTGTATGGTAGACCATGCTCCCTGTGGGCTGTTTCTTGCTCTTAATTTACCCAGTAGACCCCCCCCTTTGGCCCAGTTCCAACTTTTGTGGCAGACGTGAAATAAAGCATGACGTACGTGAGTACATACGTGACTACGTTTCATTATTGCACATTTAACCTCTTGATTCATTCATTCGCTCAGAATGTTCTTATGCCTTGTATCACTACACTTCATACTAGCGTTTTAGGATGAGATTTTCCTGCACTTAAGTCCAGAAGAGCTAAGCGCATCCTTATGAGGACAAATAGCTATTATCTTTTAACCTGCAGTAGTGAATGTCAATAAGAGCACTTCACTTTGGTTTTCTTTTTGGCTTTTGTAACTATTTTCCCCCAAATCTTAATGTACAACTTCTGTTAGTTTTGTATGGAACTTTAGGAAATAAACATCTTCATCTAGTTGTTGAATACCTAAAAACTTTTAAAACAATAACTGATGGAGCAGATGAAAATTGCATGTGAATAACCGAGTCGTATTTACTTTCATATAAATGAGTATGCAACACTGTTTATAAAAGGTGATTGACTTATTCACCTATGATGTGCTTTTAGTCTCAGAACTGATCGTCTTATTTTGAAAATACAGGGAAAAATGCAGACAAGATGCAGGCCTCTCTTTCGAAACTTGCATTTTACTTAATTTTGGTTGAAAATGTTTTAATTAATGAGCTTGCATGAGTCTTCAAAAACTTTTTAAGGCTATAATTAAGTGTATAGCAGATGGCCTCTGTTTAGGAGAAATTAAAACTGAATTTCCTGACTCCTCAGCTGTGAATGACTTGGCATGTACTTATGGTTCAACACGCAGGTCATGTCCTTCAAGGAAAAAAATAACATATAGGTGAGAATTCAGCAGTGTGCTCCATAGCTTACCTATTATTAGCAAATTAAACTCAGAATTTGTTGGGAAAGATAAAAATTGGTTCATATGTGCACCTGTCAGTGTTTGCAACTTCTCAGGCTTATCTGTTTCATTTCTGCTTGTAGAGGAAAAATATAATTCCACAGGATGTCTATTACAACTCTGCAGTACTTGGAGGAAAACAAAATGCCTGTGGGAGGTTGTAAAGTATTGTATAGCTATACATATATAGCTATTTATCTATAGTTTAAAAAAGCTTTGTTATTTAGCAAGGATAGATATAATTTCTGAGAGGATTTCTTGTTTTGTTTTGCTGGGCTTTCTTATTTTTTTTAAGTATAAAGGGTTGTGTGTGCATTTGTTTTTCTCCCTTCAAAATAAACATCAGGACAATACCCTGTGCCTGACAATATACGACTTTTGTCTTGACAGTGGGTTGTGCAGAACATCATTAAAGTAGACACTTACTTTTGTTCATTGCACACCTATGACACCAACGATTTATAGAATAACAGAGTAGCAGATCGTTGCTGAAAAGTTAGATCTCGTAACATAAGAAGGAATGCTAGTGTGGTATTGTGAAAGAGGGCAAGGCTAGACAGGGTTTATAAATATTAAAAGAGCAGATGGTCTGATGTTTATTCTGTACTTATTTTTATAGAAGAATGTTGAATGTTTGGGTAATTGGGAAATACAGTAGAAATCATCTTTTAAAATGCTGCTTCTTTCTTAGGTTGGAACAAGATATTAAAAAGTTAAAGGCTGACCTGCAAGCAAGCAGGCAGATCGAACAGGAGCTACGTAGTCAAATCAGTTCTCTGACTAACACAGAGCGGGGAATTCGATCTGAAATTGGACAGCTCCGGCAAGAAAATGAGCTGCTTCAGAACAAGTATGTATTTCTACAAAGCTGTGTGAATTAGTAAGTAATAACTGTAGTTTAGTAGAAGAAAATGCTGTGCCAAGGCTCTACAAAGTTTGAGGCGCTTGCCTGCAGATCCAGCCAGACACCCATTTGGGAACAGTACAGAGACAGCAATCTATTTAGTTTGTTTGTTTGAAGTGTTTAAATCCTCTGTTAAAACCCATACCTATTACCTTCCAGATTACACAATGCTGTACAAATGAAACAAAAAGACAAACAAATGATCAGCCAGTTGGAGAAGAAATTAAAGGCAGAGCAAGAAGCACGAGCCTTTGTAGAAAAACAATTAATGGAAGAGAAGAAAAGAAAGAAATTGGAAGAAGCAAGTGCTGCACGTGCTGTTGCATTTGCTGCTACAAGGTACTTGGTTCTACCTCAAAAGCAAGCTCTACTCCTGGAATGTAACTGTTGCCACTAAAACTCGTTTTGGAGTGTGTTTTTTTTTTTTTTTCCCCCTTCTCCACGTAAATGAGTAGTCTATGATAAAAATAGTGTCTGGTATGTATTGCAATGTGGAACCTTAGTTTATGCAGGTTTATTTGTGTGGGGGAATGGGAGATCTCCTTCCATGAAGTTGAGTCTCAGTGCTCATATACATTAAATTTATAGGGTGATGACTATATTCTATATTGTCTGCTGTTCATTGATTGTACTAGCACGGAGGTACTGTACCATGTATGGGTACTCCAGCTAAAAAGGGGAACATGCCCTTTCAGGGAAGCTCTGAATCAAGGTTTCATAGAGTGACTATGGCCAAAATACTGTCTTTACCTCACATCTCAAAGGTAATCTGCTCTAAGCACCAACTACCAGTGCTCAGCACAGTAGTGTTTCAGCAGTACTGTAGATATATAGTTAGAAGTGTTTTTTTTTTTTTTTTCCCCTTCTCCACGTAAATGAGTAGTCTATGATAAAAATAGTGTCTGGTATGTATTGCAATGTGGAACCTTAGTTTATGCAGGTTTATTTGTGTGGGGGAATGGGAGATCTCCTTCCATGAAGTTGAGTCTCAGTGCTCATATACATTAAATTTATAGGGTGATGACTATATTCTATATTGTCTGCTGTTCATTGATTGTACTAGCACGGAGGTACTGTACCATGTATGGGTACTCCAGCTAAAAAGGGGAACATGCCCTTTCAGGGAAGCTCTGAATCAAGGTTTCATAGAGTGACTATGGCCAAAATACTGTCTTTACCTCACATCTCAAAGGTAATCTGCTCTAAGCACCAACTACCAGTGCTCAGCACAGTAGTGTTTCAGCAGTACTGTAGATATATAGTTAGAAAGCCTTTCAGGATGAAAGCACAATGTGAATGTAGATGGCTTTAATTTGCAGTGCTCCAAATGTCTAAAGATAATTATTTCTGCTTTTCTGTTCTCCGTATTTCCTGAATATTCCAAATTTCCTAATATGGAGGCATAGCGTTGGGTAACTTTTTGCAGCTTTTTGTATTGTTGCTGTAACATAAGTTCTTTTGCTGAAAAGAACAAAGTTAGCTTCCTCTTTTATCCTTCAATATTTATATTAATTTTCATGGTACAAACAATTCAGAATTGACAGCTTTATTCTGATTTCACCTTCTTTTCTTTTAATGTTTCTTCTGCAGAGGAGAATGTACTGAAACTTTACGGAATCGTATCCGAGAGCTGGAGACAGAGTGCAAGAAGCTAACAATTGACATAAAGCTGAAAGAAGATCAGATACGAGAGCTAGAAATGAAAGTGCAGGTAATAAGAAAGCACCAGGGGCTTGGACTGGCATCACAATGAGTGCTTTCAACCCTCTGAAGTTGGTGGATCTACATAAGAGGCAATCAACGCCTTCAAGAATTGGGCTATTCAGATGTTTGTCTTATATGCCTTACATCAGGCTTTGTAAGAATGTGGATATAAGAAAAGTTAATAGTCTCAGCTCTCCACCACTTAATTATTTAAATGATTATTTTTTTTTTTCCCCCCAAACTAACGGGTCTGGATAAACTGAGGAGAATATAAGCCTCTCAGCTACCCTTTTTTCTTACTCGAGGAGCTTGTTGCCAGTCAGCATCCTTATGAATTTCACTGCTAAGAACTAAGATAGCTTTCTCAACATTTTACTCACTGGCCAGATGTATTTTTTGGTGAAAGTGCTTGAATGTTGAAAGCACGTTGCAGTAGATTTGTCGCAGATGCGCTGTCTGGTGTGTTTGAGGTTAAAAGCTTAAATGTGTGAGTTAAAGTTGACCTTATTCCTTTAAAATGTCTGTTCCTAAAGATGTCCTCAGACTGTCAACTGAGAATTTGCATGTTAGTTCCCTGACAATGAGAATACATATACTTTTTAAGTCTTCTGATTTTTCAGATGCTCTTTAAAATCCACCTTATGGTACTGTGAACTTGTTTTCAAATAACAAATGCAACCTTGCTCTTCCAGGGTTTACCAAACCCATGAAAACTAGTTTAGTTTATCCACTGCAAATGTGCACCTGTCTTTCAAATAACTACCACCAGCCATAATAAAGCCTTTTTTATTATAATCTTTAAACTGTTAGAGAAGCTATTTTTGTTATAGGTATTAGTATTTCCCCCACAATTTTATTGTTTCTTGATTTAGAGCCATAGAACTATTTTTCTTATAATAGTTAGCCAGCTCACATGGTAATACATACATCCCAACCACAATGTGATTGTCTTCTGTGTACAAAATATTCACTCCCTCCTTCTCTATTTTATGTTTCTAGATTTGCAGCTCAATCAGATTCAGTGTGGAAAGTATTTCTGGGATAAAGAAATCCCTCTCACCAAACAATTGTAATAGCTTAAAATGCAGTGTTTATTTTGTATCACTTTAAACTGTCTAGCAAAAGATCAGTCCCCAATCTAGCCATTTTACTTGTGGGAAGTGTTTTTTTGTGTTCTAGAGCTTGGTCCTCTATGCTTCCAAATGAGCACTGTACAGCTTCTTAGATGGCACTTGGAAGGGATGAGGAGCGTCTCCGGAAGGAGAGTCTCAGTGATACCGATGACAGAGAGCTGAGAAGCAGAGCAAATATATTTGCTCACTGCACTGTAATTATGCTTTGTACCATATGGCTTTAATCACTTGTATGACGGTCATGTCTAATTACTGGAGGTAATATTACAGTGTCCTTAATTAACAATCATTTTAATTTTACAGCATTAATACTAGGCCCAGTGGCATACTGTGGAGAAAGGGAAAGACTTCTCAGTATATCTCATGTGTAAAGTCTATGTGAATAACACTTGTCCTAATTGCTCCTACAGGAACTGCGGAAGTACAAGGAAAATGAGAAGGATACGGAGGTGTTAATGTCAGCACTTTCAGCCATGCAGGATAAAACACAGCACTTAGAGAATAGCCTGAGTGCAGAGACAAGAATCAAGCTGGATCTGTTCTCTGCATTAGGAGATGCAAAACGGCAGCTTGAGATTGCCCAAGGTAATGCGTGGTAGTTTAATTCAACTGGTAGTACTGACTGAAATGGTGGAAATATGACATAAAGAATACCCTGCCTTTTAACGTGGCAGCGGGTTACAGCCTCAACTCACCAAAGCATTTCAGGTTTCAGTGGGATTTTCTGTCTTTTATGCCTCTGGGAAGGTGAGCCTAAGCACTTCAGCTGATCAGCCTGATTTCCCCAAGCTATTGAACTGAAAACAATGTACCCACATCTTGATGTTTAAGTTAGTTTATGATGTTTACGAGCTGTTAAAGCTGGAGATCTTTTTTTAAAAGGTTATTATATATAATAATAATAGTTGCCCTATTTTAAGACCCTATCCTTAATCATAATAGCATTGTGATACCCCTGAAGTAATTATAAATACAAAAAACCCCTTGTTTTAAACGTTGTATTGGTGAGATAAGGAGCTGATGCGGCTGTCCCTGTTGAGCTGCTGTTGCAGCCGCTAGAGGGAGCATTAAGCCAGGATAAAATCATGCCCAGACCGTCCTTTGTTCTGCTGTGCAAGCCTTGAAGGAAAATGAAATAACTTTTGGAGTTGGTATCTGTTTAACTTCCTTGCAAAAGTTTGCTTGGTTGCAGGGAAGTTGAATTAGAGAGGGAATTTTTATTCTGTTGTAATTTTATTGGGGTTTCTCTTTACCTGGTTTCATAGATGGTTATAATGAGTTTATAAGTGTGCACACAGGAGGTTTAGAAAAACAAGGAGAATAGGACAGCTTTAAAAATAAAGTAATTAATGCATTTAATAAGCAAACACTTGTGCTCCTGCGAGGTACTGGTAAAACGTGACCTGAAAAGTGCAGAAAAAAGTTGAGCTGTAGAAATAATCTTTTGGAACAGTGCAGCTGTGAATTGAAACAGTGCCAAATCTAATAGAAGTGCTATGTCTAGTTAGTAACTAGAGGTAATTAAACACAGTTCATCCACATAAACCAACAGTTGCATGAATTATGCTGTTACTGGTATCTCAAAACGCTGAAAGTCGTCTGGGTGCTTCACTTCAACAGTTCTTATCCCTGGGTGATTGGTGGAGGGTGAAAACATGTCACTGGGTTCTAAGTGGTGCTATTTACTGTTTCAGGGCAAATCATTCAAAAAGATCAGGAAATCAAGGACCTAAAACAGAAGATAGCAGAAGTTATGGCAGTAATGCCCAGCATAACATACACTGCAGCCACCAGCACTCTGAGTCCTGTTTCCCCACATTACTCTTCCAAATTTGTGGAGACCAGCCCTTCTGGACTTGATCCCAATGCCTCTGTTTATCAGCCCTTGAAGAAATGAATGCCAATTTTCTTTTTGCCCAGTAATTTTGTCATGCGGAAGGCATCACACAGGAGTGTCTCTTGCAGTCAAGATGAAATTGTATTGTGTAAGACTGTATTCGTTGTCATTTAAAACAGGAAAAAAAGAACATCTGGATTGACTAGAACTGCCCATCAGTTTTTCTTGTAAATTTTTAGAAAACCTCACAGAACTTTGCAATTTATTTTCCTTGGCCAATGCATTAAAAACAATTCTTGGTTTTCAAGTAGCCAATTTTGCCTTTTTATGTACTCTTGCATGGTTTCCTCTTGAAAAATACAGGGCTTTGCTTGATTTTGAACCCTTTCTTTTTTTTTTTCTTTTTTTTAAATCAAGTTGAATTTGCAAATCAGAGTTATTAAGAAATAGTGAGGAAAAACATTTAGTTTTTAGAATGAAAGGGTTAAATAATCTAACAAAGCTTTGATTTATAGATGTATTAAATACAAATATGTGATGTTGCAGAAGATAATTTGGCTACCCCTCAAAGGACCAAACAAATTTCAGGGGCGTTGTTTAAGGGAAAAAAAAAAAGTAAGTAAGAGAATAGATGACGATGTGACGGTGGTTGTTGTGTGAAATATTTATATTCCCATTGGTGTTTTTAGTCATTGAGAATTGCTAACAGTCTTGTTCACAGTGCCTTGGGAAAAGACATTTCAAGAGGAAACTTGATAGTTTAAACTATTTTTCCCCCTTCACTGTCATCTAGCTTATATATCAAGCTCATTACAGAGTCTACTGCAAATTGTACATGGTAATTTGGATGTTCATTATAAACCAGGGTTACATCTTATGTTTATTTTGATATAAACTCAGCAGTGTTCTGTAACTTGCCTTGATTATACTGCATCGTGGAAGGCACAATATTAATACAGGAAGCGTTATTGTGAAGGCGGAACTGTGCAATGTACTGTATACAAGAGACTGTAAAGCTGGCTAATAAAAGCTGCAGTTCTGGGTTTTTTATTTTATTCAGCTGTGATTTACACTCTATCACCTTGTGTTTGACAATTTAAATGGAGCTGAATATTTCTTCAGCTGTCGTGCCAAGGAGTTTTTAAAGAGTTTTAAAAGAAACTCATAAATTGCACAAAGGTTTAAGTTAAAATGTATATTATACATTGATAGAAAGTGTTTGCACTGGCAACTTCTGAAGTGTTTAAGATTTTCTGGGGGCTGAGGGGATTAAAAGGGCGGGACGCAAAATTGTATTGAAAGCTAGCAAAATTAAAACCCAACATTATGATTTTGCAAACATGCAGTGGACTCTGGAAGGACAAGGTTCTTCTTAAAAGAAAAAAAAATCTTTTTTTTCTTTAAGTGTCATGTTAATTGGCATGTATGCCTCATTTAAAAAAAAAAATGAAAAAGATCACGCAAGTCAATAAAATAGAATTATTAAAGATTCATCATTTTAATCACAGATATTCTTTTGGGATAAAACTTCTAGCTTTAGCCAGGTGTGCATGTTGCTGTCATTTGCATTTTTGAATCATCTTGTGTAATTGTCACCATAAAAGTGTTACTCAGAAATGTCATAGGTTTTTCATCTTTGTGCAAAACATGAAATATTGTCACTGACTTTTTGTGTTGAGGTTCCCCAGTTTTGCTGCCTACTTTGGCACTATTTTCGTTAAATACTTGGTCTTGGCTGCATTCTTTTTTTCTGTGGGGTTTACAAAGAATAAACATTTTCTTGCAGATACAAAAAAAACTTTTTTGCCTTTTTAACTGATCTGATTTAACCTGGTATAAGGAATATGTTTTGTTTAAAGAGCATCTTAAGAAAATTGTTGTCTTTTTGCATGTATTCTCTGTTATTCCAGGTAAGTCTTCCCTTTTGCAGCAGAACTTCAGTTTTGGGAAACAGAAGGAAGAACAGATGCTTCTCCTATTCGGTGTACAAACTTGGCAAGTTACCCCATCTATGGGCTTAAAAAAAAGTATAATTTCTTGAGAATTGCAAGAGTATGTCTGTAAGTTTATCCTTTGTTCCTTTCCAGTCCTCTCTTTACTGCAAAGGCAAAGCCAAGATGGATAGTTTGGGGATTTTAGCATTATCCTTGTCTAGACAAAAAAAAAGAACTACTTGTCCCTGGTTTTCAATATATCTGCTTAATTCCCTTAGCCCCTCCAGCTGCTTCTGTAAAATATTTTTGTTGGGAATTATGCACATGTATTTGTCATCTTCAGGTTAAGTGAGCTGTCTCGTGCATCTGACTTTGGCTACTGCCATAGCTGGTCCTAACCTGGACATTCTTCTCTGGCTACTTCTACTCTAACTTTTGCTTGGACCCTCAGCAGTTAGGCCTCCAGATAAAATATGTCAGGTGCCAAGAAGTTCCAACCTCAATTACTCTATAACAAAAGGAAAATTTGAAAATATAGCGTGGATAAGTTTGCAATTTTGACAAATCACATTGCAGCGCAGCAGAAGTTGCGTTCTCTAGTTGCCCCCTTAGTTCGAATTGAAATACTTGCTTAGAAAAGGTGTAACTGTTTGCAGGCAACAGTCCACTATGCAGGATAAGTGAGGCAAATGGAATGAGATAATTTAAGCATTCATAAGTTATACCAGCCGACTGTTTGATCTTTAAATATCTAAATGTCTGAAATGGAAAATATTTTAATGACTCATCATAAATTGTACTTGCAAAGTTAATATAGGGGGAACGTAAAATGCAAGACTGCAGAGGGTTTACGTAGGGTATTTTGTTTTTTCTGTAGTCAATTCAGAAATGTTACACGATGAAGAAATACTTTGGAGAAATCTGCTAAAGAAAAACAGAAGTATCCAAAACTTTTTCCAGCCACCATAAATCTAGGAAAAACAGGTAATGAGAAGGCAAGACATATGTAATGTTTTTGAGCACCTCAGGGTTTATCCTCATTAAAATTTTCAGTAGAGCAGATAGCAGTATGTAGTTTTAATATTTAAAGAAATGCTCTTTTATTCTTAAATTCCATCCTGTAACTGTGATGAGATGAACTAGCGTTCCTAGCCTCCCTTTTTAGCATATTTCATGGTGAGGGGAAGGAAGGGCTTAATTGCATATATTGAATTCAGCCTTGCTTCATCAAATAATTCTAGAAGGTGAAAATTGCTACTTTGACTGAAGTGTCCCCTACAGCCAGCTGGAAAAGAAGCTGGAGATGCAAAACTTCACTGTAGGAAAGCAGGTGAACTTCCATCTACTTGAGAGTAGCTATTTCCTCCAAAGTGCTTAATGAGAAGAACAAACCTTTGATTTTGTTAGGGTCTTTTGTTTGTTTGTTGTTTTCCTAATTGCTAAAGCAGACTTGGAAGTTGCTTGCTTACCTTAGGACTGGAGTGTGTTGGAATCACACGTCAGAGTAACTGGCTCCAAGGCAGTTTCATAGGCCAAAAGATATGTGCCTTTCAGCATTTCCTCATCCTACCATTTTTGTGTCGGGAGCTCGCTACTCTGAATCTGCTGTTATTGGTGACGTTTGTATGCAGCACAAGAAATTTTTGCATTTCAAATTAAAATCGGACTCATTCCAAAAACATTAGATAGAAAACACTGTAAAACGAGTTTGACCCTGGGTTCCTTTACCCATAGTGTCTGCTATTGAGAAAAAGACCGTTTCCACGATTAGCAACCGAAAGTGGAAAGAGACCGTTATGAAAAGTAAGCAATCTATCTGCCTTTGACCTCATGCAAGCAGGTTTGTGTACTACCAGCATTGAGCACCACTATAGTGCAGCAACTCGATCATCTGCAGCAGTAAGTTGTTCTTGGAGGTTTCTTTGTTTTGTTTTTTGTTTTAAACTTACTAGTTGTAATCATAAGCTCAATTGTTACAGAAGTTTCAGTTCATCACAGAGGATTTAGTGTGTTGTCAGGATGTATTTCCTTAATACTAGACAGTTCTTTTAGACAATTTTTTCTTGTATTGCGATTTCTAGACTCAATGTCAGAAGCAGACCGTCAGCAAGTTTATATTTTTGCAATCTATTACATGAAGTCTGAGGTGCCTCAGTATCTTAACTGAATCAGCTTCTGTGATGTGCTAAAATAATACTACACAAACATTCAAGTAAATAATTTCTAATAATGGGGAATACACAGGAAAAAAAGAGAATCAATTTCAATCAAGTTCAAGTGCCACTGCTCATTTACCTATAATCCCTATGAGTGGTAATCATGCTGTTTCAGGGCGTGTTGTCAGGTTCAGAAAATACTGCTTTTTATTTTATTGCTTACAATGAAAATCTTTAAACTGTGTCTCTTACATAATTAACATGAAATTATTTCCCATCCAAATTTAGCTAGTATGAACAATAATGGTTCAATTATAATAAAATAATAGCTGCAGTTAGCAAAAGTATGTTCTGCTCCCTTTACGTTTTTGGAAATGCTCCAGGAATATCGCAGTTTTTGTGAGGAATGCAGGTTTTCTTGTTCTACCTCAAAGCATTAGCTTAACAATTTCCTATATCTAACAAACATGGTCATAATGCAGTACCCTGATCAAATAGAAAGCATCAGCTTCAGGTGAATTCTATTATCCTTTACTTCCATACCATTCCATTTTGGAGGCAAAATCCTTCTGACGATACTTGCACAAATGCATAACGAGCAGTTCAAAGACAAGTTAAGGCTCTGCTAAAACCAAAAGGTTCCTAGAAAATGGAAATAACTAGCATTTTACAATCTTTAATTGAGAAATTATAGAGATAATCTGGTCCGTTTCCTGACACATTTGCCACTCTAGCCTAACTTTCATTAACCTTGACTTAACAATTTGGTCTCTCAGTGATCTTTTTAGGCAGTCTTTCTACTTTTTGTAACCTCTTGAGGTGCATTGTCATTACGAAACTTCTGCTTATCTGTAATGTCCTTTTTTTTAAATGACTTGTTTTTTTTCTTTTCTCCATAAGAATTAAATGCCATATAGAATAATTCTAAGTGATTTTTATCACAAGAAGATTTCTGCTTAAAGTTTGCCTTTAATCATATGTATCAAGAAGCAAACCAAAGTGACTATGTAGGATGCATTCATTACTCATGGGAATACATTTCTGCCACTCTTTTGCTTGTAGGAAGTGCTGATACATGCATTGAACATGGAGGGACTGTGGGCAGTTCTTAGACCTTAAGCAGTATTTTTCTGCATCCCTGAGAAAGAAAGATGTTCTCTGGCAACAGCGGATTGCTTGGGATCATCTGCTTTGGTCTCTCGGCTAAGCTGTGAAGAAAGGATACTGTCTGTCCTCTCTCTCTTCCTGCCCCCAAATTGTTAATTCTGTTTCTAAATTTTTTGATTCTGTCAAATTTATGCATGTTACATACTGTAAGGAGGAGATGGCCGTTTAAAACTAGGTAGTTTCATCTATTTTAAAAAAGAAGGCAAAGAGGTGTTTGGCAACGCTAGCACAGGGTTGTGGCTAATCAGGGTGGTGCAGAATTTGTTTCTGGCTTTGAGTAGTTTTTGCAGCCAGGTGTTTTAAACGGTCTCTTCCAGTTTCCTCATTTGCAAAGAAACCTAATTATGTGTCATCCCTAAAACCTAATCCTGTAAAATATTGAACTGTTCTGAAGAGGGGAAAAAAAAATTTAGTGGAATAAGGCTTTTATTGGAGTGTAGCTTAAACTAAAAAAATTCGGATATCCCTGAATAATCCCAAGTACATCTGGATCTGAAACTAAGTGTTGTGGTTCATAGCAGTTTTCTTTTTTTTTTTTCCCCAATGATTATGAAAATATTTGCTCAAGAATTGCTAGAATAGAAGAGAACAATGTCTTGAGAGTTTTCTTAAAAACAAAACTTGCTGAAAGGGAAATATACTTTGTTTCCTCTCTAAAATAACCACAAGAGGGCCCAGATTTCCTGAGGTAGGCCAGGCCCTGATTAAACATTACACAGTGACTCAGTGACTAAAATACCGGAGGAAAAAAAAAAACCTCATTTTTTAAAATAGACATCTGAATGCTATTTCTCAATC